GAGGAACAACTCAACACATTATGGTATTAATCGTCAAAGACAACACCGTGCAGCATCAATAACCCTACTGAGAGTCAATTACTGACTCACATGGGAAAAGATCTATCATATGCTAAACGGCACGCACACGGCGTGAAATCAATCTTCAAACAATTCAGGGGACTGCACATGTAAGCACGTGTGTGTCCATGTGTGGATAGTTGAAAGAGAGACTCCAGAAAAAAACAAGCTCGCTGCCATTGAATTCCTTCTCACTGAGAGCAACATCAGAGCTAGAAACCCAACATTCCAGTGTGAGTTATATTCCCGTAGCACAAGCGTGTCATCGAGTCCGATCTGACCCACAGCAGCGACTCCATACACAACGGAATGAAACACTGCCCAGTCCTGTGCCATCCTCACAACTGCTCTGGGCTTTGAGCTCACTGCTGCGGCCACTGTGTCCATCCATGGCTGCCCTTCCACGTTGCCAAGCAGGGTGTCCTTCTGCAAGGACTGGCCTCTCCTGACATCATGTCCACAGGATGTCAGACGAAGTCTCGCCACCCTGGCTTCTCAGGAGCACTCTGGCCATACTTCTTCCAAGAAAAAGACAGGTGATCTCAATGTCTTCTTTGTACTCTTTCACGTGCCTCAACTTACCTCTGATAAACTGGCATCACGTGCACAGTGACAAAATCACTGTATTTCACGGGAAGAAAGAAGCGAGCACTTACTTTAATAGCAATGTTAACAGAAACTTCCTGAATATTAGCAAGTGCAGGGTAGAGTCTCCCTTCAGATAGTTCTTTCTCCGTCAACTGGCCTGTCAGTGCCTACAGTGGAAAAGAGCATTTTACTTTGGTTTACATAACCCAGAGTAGTGAGGACCTCATCAAATGGAAAGAGGGTTGGGTGAGCAGAGGCGAGTTGCAGTAACCCGAGTCTCTTGACTTCTTGCGGTAATGTACTAAGGATCACTGCAGAATCATCACCAAACCAGCTGGAGAGACTACTATTTAGAGACTACTTAACACACGCAGGGCTTGGCATAATTAGGACCACAGCAGCTACTATGAAAGTTGATAAGGTGAGCCCCCAATAAAATGATTAAAAAATAAATAAAGAGATAGATGCAACCTAAAAAAAAAGTTGGTAATATAATATTTGTATTCTTGCTCGTTTTCCAGAACCTCTATCTCGAAGTCTAGAATTCCAACAGACTAGTCCTTCAAAGAGACCAGTCCTTTCCTACGACAAAATGCAGTTGTGTGTTCCTGTGGGATCACAGTAGGCTACCTGCAGGTATACAAGTGCGTCGTGCACGGGCTTCACTTTCAAAGGCTCCAGCGTGCAAAACAGATTTAATTCTTGTTCCACATTGAAGATTCATTACCTTTAGCATTCTCCTTTCATAAAACAATCACACTTAAATCATTACCTTTGCCGCTTCCAGGAAAACGGTGTCACAAATGTGCCGGGTGCCACTGAGAATGACGGCTAAAGCCACACCTGAAATTCATTTCAGAGAACTTACTCAGTAAGGGCACAGTTCAAATTATGAAGTTCTTAGAGAAGGGGATGAATGTATTCTTAAGATTTTCAGCAGATAAATGGTGATCCACCCCAAACAGAAATCTTAACACAGGACAGCCTCGACTCGTCATTCTGTTCCACGGAAAGAAACAACTTTGGAATTATCAAGTGGCTTTTCTCCATTAATTAAAAAAAAAATCTAACGACTATAAATGCACACAATTCCTCCAGGCCTCTAACAAAAGACGGTGGTTCCCAGCCTTCCTCTG